TAATTGCCAAACACTGATCAAAGTCACCTAAGTCGGCCATTGTGGTGGAGAGCACTCCTGAGGGAAGGCTTCCCGAGGCGTCAATCACTGCATTTGATGAATGGAAAGTGAATCATTTCATTATCATCAACAGTCTCCTACAAGTTATGCCATTATTTCATTCCGTTACTCACTTACTGAGAGCACTCCACTCCTGTTCCAGCGGCCGACTGACAATGGTCTGCAGTACTTGGAGACACTTTTTGCTCACCTGACTCTTCACCGTTTCACTGTTGGCCACATTCCTTGTCCACTGTCGGAGAATTGGCTTCTGATGCTCGGTGACGTACTCCTCCAGAGCGGCATTCATCCGCAGCCAGTAGTGGTTGCCATTGCTGAGACTTTCTGACAGATTGCTGTCACCTGCGTATGGACGACCGAAAACGTACCGACGAACAGGCACCAGCTCTAGTGGATCAAAGTCAGGGGACACTGTTCGGCGACATTGTACTACTGTGTAGCTGCTGTAAAATGCTAAGACAAAAAACAAAAGTATCTTTTGATAGTTCATGATCTCATAAAACACAAAAACAAAACTCTAGCTGCTCACACCCTGACTGTCAGCTAATATAAAATTTCTAGTGTAAAATCCAAATCGGATTCCCCCATATTTNTGATCTCATAAAACACAAAAACAAAACTCTAGCTGCTCACACCCTGACTGTCAGCTAATATAAAATTTCTAGTGTAAAATCCAAATCGGATTCCCCCATATTTAATCGATAATGTTTTAAAAGTTTTAACATTAAATTGTGGTCAGAGTTTTGTTCAACAGAAAAAACAGCCATTTGTTTGTAAAGACATCGTTGTGTAGAATTATCCTCAAACTAGTGATTATATTAAAGGAAGCACTACATGTCAATAAAATTGCATGCATGAGCAGGCAAAGATTAAGCTAAAGGTGTGCATCTTGCCAGTTGTAGTTAATCAATTTAGCACTTAAATGTCGAGCTCATCAATTAACGACAAACCTTGAAACTTTTAAATAAACAAAACCGGTTACAAAAGAATAGAATGGCAAAATCAGCACTTCTGACGTTAGACTGCTTTATAAGCGCGTAAAACGAAAACATTTTAACCACAGCAGTGTAAACAACGTTAGGATCACTTTCAATTTCCTCGTTCACATTATATTTTTAGAACACGATGCTGTATGCAGTTTGTCTGTCAGCAGCCATTTTCTTGGTTTCTATCACCACCGTCATTTCCTCGACCATCACAGTGACCACTATCAATGGACCACTTATCGGCAAAGAGATCACCTTGCAGTACGATATTCCCAACCGAAACGTACCTGTAAAACTTAACCGTTTTCTGGGAATACCCTATGCGAAGCCACCAGTGGGCAAGCTTCGTTTTCGTAGGCCAATTCCACTGATCGGCAGAAGCTGGCCTGGTGTGCTCAATGCCACTACCTGGCCAAACAATTGCGTTCAGAAGGAGCTTTTGATTGACTTCTACCAAAACAAAAATTTCACTGAAGACTGTCTGTTCCTGAACGTCTGGTCGCCAAATGTAAACACTGCTCAAAAGTTGCCCGTCCTCGTGTGGATACACGGTGGATCATTCTACTATGGCGGCAGTTCATTTGACTTTTACAATGGTGAAACATTGGCGGCGATGACCAACTCGGTGGTGGTCACCTTCAACTACCGAGTGTCTACACTGGGCTTCCTTACAACAAATGAAGATCTGGCAAACGGTAACCAAGGAATTTGGGATCAGGTAGAGGTGTTGCGATGGGTACAGACAAACATTGCTCACTTTGGTGGCAATCGAGACCAGGTGACAATAATGGGCGAAAGTGCCGGTTCGCAGTCGGTCAGCTTGCATATACTTTCACCTGTCTCACATAGTCTTTTCAGCAAGGCTATCATGATGAGCGGATCAGCGCTGTTCAAAGTCGTCAGCTCTCAGAAGACGATGAATGCCCATTTTATAGCCGCAATTGGTCAAGCCGTGCCAGAATGTTCACCAGCCAAAAAAGAAAAAATTATAAGCAAAAAAGTGGTTGACTGTTTGAGGAAAGCATCCCCTGAAAGGGTAGATCAAGTTGCCCACTTGATGAGAAATAAAATAGGTAAGTTTTGGAAGTTGGTGATTAAGTTTTATTCTAAAAACTCAAATAACAGATTACCATGAGCTCGTCGTTGTTGATGGAGACTTTCTGCCTGAGGAGCCAAAAAGTCTACTTCTAAAAGGAAGCCACAAACGTGATCTGACACTGCTAGCAAGCACTGTAGAAGACGAAGGTGCCTTCTTTCTAGTGCCAAGTGGTCACAACTCAAAATTTTCTTGGAACTCAAATGAGGCGATTACCAAAGATGAGGCAGAAAACTATTTTCTCGACTTCATGTCAACTGAGATACTGCCAAAAGAAAAGTTGCCACTTTCAAGAAAAACAGTAAAAGAAATGTACTTTTCTGGAAATATTAACTCATCTTCAGATGCACTGAAGAAGAGGGTCACTGTGGCTTACGGCGACGCCTACTTTGGTTGCCCAACGATGGAATACACCAAGGCACTTTTCCGTTCAACACCAGACACTGTCACGGTATTTCAGTGGCATTTTCACTCCAAACCACTTGGCCAAATTAAATTTTGCCCTCCTTGGTCGGGTGCATGCCACGCTGAAGGTAAGACTAAACTTCAAAAACTTTTAAACAATGGTGTATTAATTGTTTGCATATTAACAAGACATTCCTCCGATGTTTGGTGTGCCATTTCGTCTTTGGCAAAGCTATGATGACGGTGACCGAGATGTCTCTGCCGAGATGATTGCCACTGTGAAAGCTTTCCTTCATACTGGAAGTCCACAGAATCTCAACTGGCCGCCATACAAGATGTCTATTTTAGGAGAACTTGCAGCCTCCTATTATATCATTGGAACAAATGGCCAAAATGTTAGCATCAATTTAAAAGAGCACGAATGTGAATGTTTATGGAAACGATTTATGTGGTGAAATTAAAAGTTTTACAATTGAAAAGAATAAAAAATGATAGTTCGAAATGTACTTTCAAGCTTGCATAAATGGGTAAACTTAAGTATTTTTGTACATTCACTAGTTTAGCCAAAATGTTTCCAATGGCTTATTTGATTTACCTTTTGCCAACATTCTTACTTGTTTACATCTTCAACGTAAAGTGCAATCACCTAACTCACCTCTGCACTCAGATCACATCGGGAGACTATTCGCAGATCAACTCAATTACTTTTGCTAATGCTACTCTACTCAACATCATTGTCAAGACTGAAATACAATATCCTCTAACAATGTATGAGGTGCCAGTTTCTCAAGTTTCTTTACGATCGATGGACATTACCTCAGTGAAGCCAAGAGGTTGGATGTACTCACTTTACACACTGGACATGCCTGAAAATGAGCTTATTGAGTCAGCTTACAGCAGCATGCTTTTGAAATCACACTTTCCTAAATCCATAATCATGAGGCAAGTGATAATGGTGACAAATGCTACGGAGTACTACTTTTACGATGATCCATCTCCGAGTGAGACTATGGTCACAAAACGCCATCGTCGACCGTTTTCAATTGCTCATGAGCAGTTGTTGAAGCTGGGAAAACAAGGGACTTCAGTTTTCGGATATGTTTTCGGTGAGTTATTTAGCAGTTTACAAACGTTTAACAATGTTTGTTTCATATCACCAGACACAGCTCCAACAGCCAATTTAGATGCTATTGTCATTCATCAACTGGAATGGAACCTGGAAATATCTCGTCTTGAGGATTTGAAACTAACTGCTTTTTACTACATTGAATTGACGGAGAAACCAACCGAGTTGCGTTTTGTTCATCCTCTAAAACGACAAGCTAACTCAAGGTCTAAACAAGCTTTTAAAAGTTTACCGCACGGATTCATTCACGGACCTACTCTCTACCTGCTGGACAATGATTTGGGGTGTGTGTACTCTCTAGAGTATCAAGCATTAGGCCAGAATACTTTGCCTAACATCAATGAAATGTACAAAAATTTCCAAAACTTTCATTTTAAACGGCAAAACACACCATTTGAAATTTTTTTCTGTAATAACTGGAAAGGTGACTTCAAGAAACAAGTTGATCCCAATCGATGCGAAACAACAGTCAACAACATTCCAGTGCAAGTTAATCCGGCAAAAGTTAATGAAAGTACCCTGTCAGCAATGGAGTTCAGTGAAGCTTCTAAATTGGAAAGCAAAAAGTCCTTCAAGTATGGTTCAATTCTAATAGGTTCTCTACTTGGATTTATTGCCATTGCATACACAGCCTATGCTCTTTTAAGCATGAACACGAACGATAATGACGATGAACAAGCAGCCACTTCAGCAAATTCTGTTACGTCAACAAAGAAAAAAGCAAAAAACAAGAAGAAAAAACGGTTTAAAACAAAGCCTAAAAAGTCACCACATAGCAGTATTTTGAGTCCGCTTTCCAACTAACATTAGTGTATATTTAAAAAATTTTTATTAAAGTAAAAATTACATTTTTTCATAAGGAACTAATTTTAAAAGTACATCCTTTTTTGGATGAAGAATCGTCGAATGGCAAATCACCTTTCTCAATCCTGTGTGCGCCTCAATGTCATCTTCAGCCAGCTCTAGTTGGTACTTGATGATCATTGAGCTTACTATGGCCCTTGCTTCAGACTGAGCCAAAAAACGGCCAATGCAACTGCGTTGGCCTTGACCGAAAGGAATGTAGGCTGAATTAACTGCACCACTTCCAGTCAAATTAGGGGGTAGATTTTCTCGAAATGGGTCAAAAGTAAATGGTTGTGGAAAATGATCAGAATTGTGGTGAATTGACTGAACAGGAATTTGAATAGTGGTTCCACGATTGATGGTGACTCCGGATGAAAGCACTAGCTGAGGATGATAGTCATCAAGTTCACGGGTGATAAAGGTTATTACCGGTGCATAAAGTCGAAGAGCCTCTAACCATACTCGATCGAGGAGTTCACATTTGTGATCATCAAAGAAACAACCATCTAAAGATTTGCAGTGATTAACATTTTTTGCAACTTTTTTAACAAACTTCTTAACTTACCGATATTTTCTTTTTCAACTTCCGACTTTTCAATTACTTTTAGTAGTTCTTTTCTTAGCATCTGTTGCACGTCGGGATATTTAGCAAGAAGGTACAAAGTGAATGTCCAAGATAGTGCAGAGGTTTCATAGCCAGCAAGAAGTATGAGAATTGCATTGCCCATCAGTTCAGTTTCATTCAGCGTTCCATTAGCCCTTTGCTCGAGCATAAAGTCCAACAGGTTGACTTTTGATTCAGAAGGCTTTTCGTACTCTTTCACGACCTTTTCCAAGTGTGCGAGAATCATATTGACAAGATTTCCGCCTCCAAAAATGCCAAATAAAAGGCGAAACAGCTTTTCTGACGTTGGAAAATAAGCAGTTAGAGCGACTGGAAAGTTGGAAGAATTTTCAAGAAAATCTATAGTCAACTCTCGTAGGGTGCACTTTTTGTCATAGATGTCTACTGGATTCATGTTGAAGGCAAGACGGGTGATAATGTCTAGTGATAAACATTTATTGCCAAAACTAAGATTGAATCGGTCTGCTGACTTGCTAGCTTCAATGTGTGCCATAAAACGAGCAACAGACTCGTTGATGACCGTCTTTGTGGTGTGCAGAGCAATCTTATGGGCAGTGAAAGCAGGGGCGAGAATGCGTCGAGTTTGCTTCCAGCGAGCGCCTCGTTGTTGGATCAGCGACGAGTTGAAGGGCTCAAACTTGATTATGGCTTCTTGTCGATTTGGCAATGTCGAACTTAATTTGACGAGCACTTCGTGAACATCAATCAAGTCTGAAAGTACCAAAAACGGAATCCCTCCTTGGAAATAGCCAAAAACAGTTCCATATTTTTTTACCCAGCGGTCCAGCGCTTCATGAGGCGCTTTGAGATACTCAGGATAGTTTCCGGTGATGAAGTTAGGAGAAGGGCCAGAAATGCCGGCTAGAGCAAATGTCTGGAGAACACGTGCTCGATTGCGAAGAAAGTTGAAGACGAAATGAAGAAGGCCAGCAAGGCAGAGTAGAACTGCCAATTCAGTGATCATCGCCATGAGTTGCTGTGTTCTGGTAGTGTTGTTGGAGGTGACTGCTGCTTACTGAAGATGATATTGCCGTCTTTTATAGCCATTTGCAGTTGAAACATCACTAACCGAATGCAAGCAGAGAACAACTGTGCTGAGGTGTTTCTTCTCAGGCGGCACTGGCACTTTCAAAACGAGCATTGAACCCTCTCTTGGCAAGCAAACGACCAAAAGTGGCACACTTTCATGCTGGTGGAGGAGGCAGTAAGAGAATGCAGTAGTAAGAGAATGCATTGTGAGCAGAGTGTACAGCAGTGGTAGTC